TAAAGGAAGTGGGGGGAGCTGTGTAGTGACCTGATATTTAATACTAGTCTTATCCTTTTGATTCCATTTTAGTTGATAAGTTTTTAAACCCTTGAATTCCATAATTATTTAGATAAGAGAGAGAAACAATTTTCATATAACATGTCTGGATTATTTTTTTAATTCATTTTAGAATTAAGTATTTTAGCATGACGAATGAAATATTTAATGAGTAAATTTTATTGTAGGTTAAATTTCTATTCAGATAGTAGAAATGTGTTACATATGAATTAACATTTGTGATATATACAGTATCATTTTGGGGTCATTTCTGTCCTGCAGTACAGTGGACAGTGTGGTGAACTTCAATACTTCACAATGCAAGTCAGTTTATTAGCCTACACTGATTGGGAATTATGGAAATTATCGCCTTAACACATCCAGATACCTGGCTTAGTCATTTAAGTAAGGATTCCGAAGGCATCAAACTGAAATTTCATTTGCCTCCTTGTTTGGATCCCAGGTATGCGCAGTTTTCCAGATTTAGCTGTTTTATATATCATACTTTTTATCTCTCAATTTCATACTGTTTAAACAGAAAAGCCCTTTTTTAAAAAAAGATTGCCTTCCTGGACTTCATAAAGGTTGGGAATACTATTAACCAGATTGTGTAAAATTGAAACTGTCATGTCGCTCTTTTGTCATTTGTCTTGACTTTTCTTGTTTTATATTTTTAGTTCTTATTTCTAAGTTTAATAAAATATTTGACTTCAACTTGGGATTGAATAGATATTTCTTATCGGTCCAAGTATTTACTCCTTAAATGTCTTCCTTCTATGCTACAGGTCTGGACCAAGGAAGATACTAGAAAACTAGATTTAGATCACAATGTAGTGCCAGAAATGAGATAGTAATTATTGTCTTCAGTTGAGGGTTAGTCCAAGCATTTTAACATGCTTTTCAACGCAGAGTAGAAAGTTTAAAACTAATGAGCCTCCCTATTACAGTCCATGATGGTCATAAAGCAGATCATCCCTGAGCAATCCGATTTTATAACCTTTAATTTGTGGCAGTCATTAAAACACCATGGTCGTTAAGTGAATCATGACTGCGATGGACATTTCTGATGAAAATCAGCATTTATTTACTTCTAGTTTTTAGCAAAAAAAATTGCATTCAATTAATGGTTGTTAAGCAAATGCATTGTTTGCTATGAGATGTTTTTGCTGAAAATGAGAAGTAAATGCTGGTTTTTGGCAGAAAAGTAAACCGCAGTCGTGTCACTGTGTAACACTGTAAATAGCTACAGGTGTGGGCTTGTTGCTGAGTGCCTGAAATGCAGTCATGACTGGGGTGGCATGGGAGTGTCAGCGGCTGTTAGAACTTTGGAACCAGGTCATAAAAAACGGTCATTAGTTGAGGACTGCCAGTGTGACAGTGAAGAATGAGTTCTGTTCCTTAAATTCGGTCTTTAATCCTAATTTGTATTTTAGTCAACGGCTTAATTTAATGTACCTGTACTGTGTATCAGGGATGAATAACAACGAAGTTGTTTATAAAGTTTTTTGTAAAGTTTGAACTTACAACATTTATAAGTTACAAGTTTTTTTAATAGGTTTTATACCTTAAAACTGAGTTGCGTGGGAGACACATTTCCAGCAAGGACACCTTTATTAAATTCACAGTCTTCAGAGAAAGATTTAAGGGATTTTAGAAGTTTGAATAAAATGACACGGACATAAAATTGCAATTGTGATCTCTGTGTTAATGTCTTATTTTTAAAACAACAAAGAATTCTGATGAAGAGTTTGGGGGGAAGAGAAGAGAACAAACAGATATAAAATAAATGTATTCCAAATATTAACAACTTGGACAAATTCAAGTATTTCTGTACCAAAAGACAGGGCAGCCTGAGAAAGGAGGCAATATCTGTGGCTAGCGTAATTTCTTGTATCCCAATTCTATGTAGATTTTGCCAATATTTGGTTGTATTTCAAGCCTCAAATAATGAATAATTATAGTACTGTTGTGCTGTTAGATTTTTTTTATTATATAGAGTAAAGGGATCAAATGAGGGGAGGTACCCCAGCCATGAATACTTAGGAGATAAATCAGGACAGAAAGACAATACAATATGTAATTTATACTGTTTAATGGATTTCTCAATCCAGATTGATGAAAAATGGAATGAAGGTAGACTACCAGGTTACATAAATCAAGTTCAATTGCAAACATCCTGCTCCTTCGTTCTTCAAAACTCACAAGACTTTCCTTGACCGAACAGGAAGGAAACTGCTTTGCTACCAGGAAGAATATGATACCTGCTTTTTCCAGTGGTATCTTGAGAACTAATCCATTCCAAGTGCTTATGAGAGTCTCTTCCTATAAAGCAGGTAGCAGGAAATATTGGTTTTGATTTTACTGCACATAAATTAAATGCTAGAAATAGAACATTCAGCAAACTCCGCTCCAACTCTTCATAGCTAGAAAATCAAATCACATCTCGGAAACGTCCTTTGCGAGCTGATTTTATGCCTGCACCGACAATTTTTTTAATTGCTCCAAAATAGCAAATCTCGGGCTCAGCATAGCTACTGCCTTTACAAGATAATAAGGCCAAACATTATCTGTTTTCAAAACTACCCGGAAAAAAACCAAAATCTATTGCCATGATGCTATACGGTAGGTAATTTATTAACTGTTACCTGAAATGTTCTTTCTGAGAAGAGAAATTATAATTGTCTCAACAGATGGTCTTTAGGCATGTAAGATAATGCTGAGATAATGTACTCCCTGCTTGAAGCATCTATGGACCATCAAATTCCCCCATGTTTGACTAGATCATGTAGTCTAAAATGCAACTACAGTAGCATATTATAGGTTATTATTTAGGAACAGTGTGTAGGGAGATACCCAGTATGTTAACTCTTATTCATACAGTAATGTTATTTTTGCATTCTGTTTTCTCTAATATTCTCAGGTACTTTTACTTTTCCTCAGAGAAAGTGCAAAACAAAAGAAAATCCTTTTGGAGCACTTTATCTCTTAATATTTTTTCAAACATTTCCTTTTTTTCTCTTATTTTCAGAGCATGAAAAATGAAAAATAAAGCTTTAGTTACTCCTAGTTTTGTATTTTGTTCAGACTTGATTGTTATTCCCACAACCTCTTCATCTCTAGGTTGTTCACAAAATTGATTAGCAGAAAACCCTGTGGACTCATCTCAATATTATGCTATGGCACTTCTCCCAATCTATTTTTAAACAAATTGTAAGAAAATGAGACTAACTAATGAGTAGTTTGTGACAAGCCCATTGTGGCTTTTGTTGATTGTTGCATCTCTATTCAAGGGCATCTGTTTTTATATGTAAAATCTGCTTCGGGATTTGTCCAATAAAGATATAGTTGACAGTCTGAAATTCCTAGCTTTCACATCACAGAAAGTTTGGCCTATATCTCCATGGAAAATGCTTCAACTGAATCATATTTCAGAGTTTTACATTATAAAAAGTTGTTCATTTCAGTTCTTGCCACATTTCTGTTGGCTTTAAATCTAAACCTTGACCACTTCAAAAATTGAAATTGTTTTTCTTCATCCATTCTATAGACTTGCTTGTATAAGGAAGCAAGTATTGGAATTGGAATTACAGTGTTGCTTCAGCTGACAGACAGATGGCCACATACTCTCTTGGTGAAGTCTCTGATACAAAGAAGAATTCATGCCTTGTTAAGCAAGGATAAGTTTTTCAGGTTCACAGTACAATTAGTCCTTGAACAGTTCATGTAGTGCCTGAAGTTACAACTGGCACTGAAAAAAAAGTGACTTATGACCACCTGTAACTGGCAGCATCCCCATGGTCTCATGATTTACATTTGGATGCTTGACAACTGGTTCATATTTATGGCAGTTGCAGTGTCCTGGGGTCATGTGATCACCTTTTGAAACCTCAGAAGACAATGAGGAAGCTAGATTCATTTCACTGTTACTAAACAACTTCAATGGTTCACTTAACAAATGTGGCAAGAAAAGTTGTAAAATGGGGCAAAATTCACTTAACAAATTTCTCTCTCAACAACATAAATTTTGGGGTCAGTTGTGGTATGTTGAGGACTACCTGTATTATCATTTTCAGTGCTTGATGATTGGTAGTAAATTCTTGATGCTTATACAACACCCATTTAGCCTCCAAACTTCCACATTTGATTCATTCCTCCAGAAGTCTGGAAGGTTATCTACATGGTTTTTGTGAAACCTTAAGACAAACATCAATGTTCTTAATAAAGAATTGCTTCCAACTCTCTACTGTCCTATGAATTCTATTTTTACCCATCTTCTCTGATGTCGGAATGATAAATATTGATTTTAGTCAGGATGAAAGATGCCTTTGGTAAACACAGAACCTTGGATGTGATTTTCATTATATGTGTGATTTTAGGAGTGATTTTGACAGGATAGCCACTTTTTATTTCTATTCTCCATTTTAAGACAGTATCTCTGATATGTGGGTTGGTGGAACCCCTTTTTACAACCTTTTCCAGACTGATAGGCATCAAGAGGTTTCCCCAAACTGCTTCTGATCAGGATATGACCTGACTTTAGGATTTGTGTGGTGAGAGCTTTGCTCAAACTTCCTTTAGCAAGCCCTACATGAAGTTCTGATAATATTCACTGGTAAGGGAGGACTAGAATCGGAGAACACATAATCTTTCTTTTAGGGAGTTTAAGATTTCAATTTTGGGACACTAACAAGCAAAGAACTTCCCACAACAGGACAGTCTATATTTTTCCCCTTTCGACGCTTGCATAGTTTAGTTTTAGGATCTCACTTGTTCTGTTGTTTTTTTAAGAAAAAAGAAAAATAGCAAACCCAGGGACACGCGATTTCTGCAATTTGTCCTGAATGAATAAGGTCCCTTGCGGAGCGGACAAGCTTGCAATTGGAGAGAAGCTGCGTTGCCGATTGGAGCGGCCCCCGGCGGGGCGGGCAGCAGGCGGGGCGCCACTCGAGCGTCTTCCTGACGTCCCTTTTCCTTTCTGCTCTGCTCTGCTTCCGGGCCAGCCATGGCCTCTTTCTTGGACCTAGACAGCATGGACGACGGGGAAGCTACGCCGCCGATTTGCACCAGCCGCTTCGTTTTCGGTGGGTAAAGATGCGCGGGGACTTCGCAGGCGGTCATATTTGAGAACCGAGGGGACGTGGGGGGAAGGCTGGAAGGCCAACGAGAGAGACGATGGTTCTTTGCTCCTGGAGTAGCGATCGTTTGGGAGGATTTGATCGCTCTGGGAATCGCTTGAATAAGGCTTTGAATGATCGTATTAGCACGATACATTGGACCACCTAATTAAGTCGCCGCATTTCGGGTTTTTATTCTGGAGAGCTGGGCACATGGAGGCACCACGTGCTTCCCTGTCCCGATTCCGTTCGTGCTCCCCAGCTCGGCTCTTGCAAGCGGCTTGGCTTCTTCGTTGGAAAAAGGCTGGGAAGGCATAGAAGCCACGCGTTGTTTGCTCTTCGTTGCGAGGAAGGATTTATCTGCCGAGTAAACGCGGTCAAAATGCTTCATGAATTTCATCGAACAGGTTAATGCGGGTTACACAGGGCAGGGCGCAGATCTCGCTCAATTCATGTGGGAGAAATTGCATCATAGCAAGGCTTTCTACCCGGTTTCATTTGTTTCTATAAAGGTTGATGGAGGGGTTTTGAAATGCAACATGTCACTGAAAATTATCTCTAAAATTTTTCGTGAGATATACTTTTGTTGGGCAGCAGCTTTGAAGTAATAAACAACTAAGAAATGTGTTCTTTTATATAACACCAAAACATTGGTAAAAAATCTCTAGATTTTACTGCTAAAGTCTGAAAATTTAAAAAAAACACCTTGCTAATTTCTTTGGCTTTAGAATTAAATATTGTACTCCCATCTTTTCAAGCTAGGGAAAACATAGGGGAGATCAATACAAAGCACATTGAAAAAGCATCACAGAAGAAGACAGTGGCAACTGCTTTTGTATTGTTGCCTAAACATGAGGTGGGTATTTCCATGAGGTAGCAGAAATCAAGCTCAGAGACCAAAAGCTTTTGGTTTCAGCTTTTGATCGTGCTGGATTTATTTTTGGCTTCTGCAGAAGTGAGAGCATGTTAAAATGTATAGCATTTCTGCAGTTGGAGAAACTTACCTCTTCCATTTAAGAAAATCTGCTTTTTTTAAAAAAAAAAAAATTGCCTTATAATATTCACTTAGGATTTTTTTCTTCCTCAGGATGTGAGCTGAACAGCAGTGCGCGTTCCTATACTTTTAAAGTCTCGGAAGAAGATGATTCGGATCACTTCCTAGCTCTGAATATGGTAAGAGTAGCTGCAGGCTATTTCCTAGCTAGTGACCTACAGCATGACTAGCCATTGCTGGGGAAGTATAATGTCCTCATGATTGTTACATGGCTTCAGTAGTATTTAAAAACCCATTGAGTTGCCAGAAACCATGATGAAATCATGCAAGCAAATGAAAAAGTGCTGGAGAGAAGATGACGGATCACTTAGTTCTTCTGACACGCCTTGATTTTTATTCTAGTAAAGGCACTAGAAATCTCCCTACCTAGACAACTAATGGGGAAATATAGAAAGTTGAAAGGAAAGGGGGATGGCTGTCTGGGTCTCGGTCATATCTGACGATAGAAGATTTTTATTTTTGATACCTGTTAGTAAGGTAGAATTCTGTGCAGATTACAATGAATGAAGCTGCACGGCTTCTGTGGCCAATATGGGAAGTAAAGTGTTTACTTCACATAGTTGATAAAATACTTTGCTGACAAAGCTGCTTTAATATCTACCTGCTTGGACAAGATGGCTCTGAGCCTTTTTTTTTTTTGTTTTTTTATTATGCCACAGAACACACTGTGTGTATGTGCACACACAGATACACAAAAATCAAATACTGAAGGCTACATTTTCTGATTGTTTAAAATCATAAAAGCAAGAATTGTGCTCTTAGAGCAGAATCTCCTAGGTCAGGGCTGTCAAACTCGTGGCCTATGGGCTGGATACATCACACACTGGCTACGCCCCCCCCAGGTTAGCGGGGGGTTGTGATACGTCACATGACAATGTGTCACGAGTTTGACACCCCTGTCCTAGGTATATTGTGATTCTGCATACTTCTTTTAATCAGTAAATTCAGGACTAAAGGGAACATTACTGCAAGAAGATCATATAAAATATAAATATATAATTATATATAAAATATCAATAAAATAATTTTTGACTGTATTGTTTCATCTTCTTATACCTCTGTCTATTCCAGAGGCATCCCAAACTCTCCTGACAAGATATTTGGGATAGATACATGAAGGCTACAGGATTGATTTAATAGGATGGATTACACAGCCTGCAAATTGGCTAAATTTACTGTTTTTGATTCTGTTCGTGTTTGTTACTGGATGATTTTGTTCTGATCCTGTTTCCAAGTGCTTATTGGAAGAGGTTCATCATTAGAGCTTAAGATGGCATTTCATTCTTAGCTAAACATTCCTCAGTGCTCCTTCAGTTTTGTTTCTCTTCCTCTTTTCAAGGCTTGTCTGTCCGAAGGTGCCAAAGATGAATGCAACATTGTGGAAGTGGTTGGTCGTGACTATCAGAACAAGGAGGTTGCTGTGCCTGTGGCCAACCTGAAGTTGTCGTGCCAGCCCTGGGTAAAATGATATTTTGGGAATACGGGTGTCTTGGAGAAAATCAATGTGTAATGGTTCCAGAATGTTGATTTGAAACACTTGAAAGACTTTCAAACACAATTGGCCATACTTGGGATGGCCCCTCTGATATGCCGTGGTGGCGCAGTAGTTTGCATGCAGTATTGCAGGCTACTTCTGCTGATTGTTGGCTGCCAGGAGTTCGACTCCCACCGGTTCAAGGTTGACTCAGCCTTCCATCCTTCCAGGGTTGGTAAAATGAGGATCCAGATCATTGGGGACAATATGTTGACTCTGTAAACCACATAGCGAGGGCTTGCACTGTGATGTGGTATATAAGTCTAAGTACTATTGCTATGCTCCAAAGATTGAGATGTATCATCAGATTTTCCAGAGCCTGCCTTCTGTAGTTTCTCCAGAGTGTGCCAAAGAATGTTCATCCTGAGTGAAATATTTGGTGTTTGAAAATTTGGTATTTAGTATCAGAAAATCTTTCGTGACCCATGACTTTCTAGATCATATCTGTTTAATCAGCTTAAATAGGTGGCTTGAATCATTAGAATAACTGGATATATTGCACTGGTTTAAAAGGTGTTATTGAGAGCTCTGAATCTCCACAGACGTGTTAACAAGAGTTAAATTTGCAAATTAGGAACACAGTATTTCTCTTTCATTATATGAAAATGTCATGGCCCTCACCCTCCCACCCCCCCCCCCCCCAAAAAAACCAATAACCACAGATGCAACAAAGCATCTGAATAAACTTCAAAACCTATTGAACTAAATGAGACTTGAGCTATTCATTTTGTTTCACAATTGCTCTATCTTCTTATTTTTCCACAGTTGTGTTTAGATAATTTTGAGTTCCAGCCCCCGGTGACCTTCCGTCTGCGCTCAGGATCTGGCCCTGTTCATCTTTCAGGACAACATCAAATCAGTAAGAACCTGGGAATGGGATGGAATAAACTATTGGGTACAATGAGCATGCTATAGTAGTTAAAGGACACAGAAAAGTAATAGTTCTTTCTGGAGTAGAGACCAGAATTCCAGATTAAGTATCTTGGCTACCTCAACTAGCATGGTCAATATTGCGGATTCTGGACCTTTTCCTGGTGTGGAGTATAAGCTGGTTCTCCTATGAGCTGTTCAGAGCATCCAGTAGTGGGAGGTGCTTCAGTCTCTGCATCCATAGGCTGAGCTTTAATTGAGGAACGCTCCTCCTCCACGTGACTCCTCCATGCGTTCCCCAGTTTTTGCTCAGCCTCGTGCGAGACAGGCTGTGAATTTGTTTTCTCCATTGACCAAAACAGGAATTCAATTTGTCGTGTACAGGTTTGATTGTCATCCAGTTTCTTCTCTTTAGCCTTCTAGTTTACTAGCTTGCCAGACAGTTTTGTTTGGGGAAGCACTATTTGCGCCCCAAGAAGGGCGGCGGGAGGCTTTTGGCGCTGCTCTGCACCACCTCCCCACAGCCAAAAACTCTTACCTCTGCCTCTTTGGTTGCCGCTGTGCCTTTCGTTCCGTTTCCCTGCTAGCGGCTTGATTTTCGTCGTTTTAAACCGCAGCCGAGTCGTATGACCTTTCCCCCCCTCTCCGAACGCCGTTCCTTCAGTGGGGAAGCTAATCAGAGTTAAATTCCCCCTTTCTCCGCCGTTTCTTTAATTTGCGAACTCTGGCTTCGTGGCAAGGTGGGAAGCAGCCGCTGAGAAGCGCGCAAAGACACTTTTGCTGGCGGATGCCTTTTTGAGTGCCACCTTGTGGCTGCGCGCCTTTTACCTTCCATCCCTAAGCTGTGTGAGGTATTTAGACTTGAAACAGCAGGATCCTTCCTGGATTCTTAGAGTCTTTTACCCTCGTTTTGGCTGTATTGCACTCGAGGTTATGTACTTCATTGAAAGATTGTTGGCTTAACCCTCACAGCTCAATCCTCAGCGGCGCAGCAGCAAAGCACCTAGGCCTGTATCCGCCTGTGCAAGAAAGCTGCTGAAGGCCCTTGTACTCTTCTACCTGGGCCTTAGGCGTTCGAATTTGGCTAATTGGTCCATAGATTGATCTTGCTTGTTTTTTTCAATATTCCTCTTCTCAGTAATATTGAGATTTATATATATATATATTTCTGCTCATAGGAGCAACAATAAACACTAGGGTAGCAACAATATTATAATAATTATTACAAGTATAATAATCATTGATAATAATTCATTATTTGACAGTATAATATTTTAATTCAATAAAATATTATTACTGAGATACGACATACACACACACACACACACCAAAAAAAAGTGGGGGGGCAATAAGTACTTATAAGGGCAATCGTTCTTGACTCAGATCGGACCCTGGGCGTGCCAACCGCCTTATCTTACTTTATATCCAAATTGCTGCAATACAAATTTAATCAAAATGGCAGATGGTAACACCTCTCAAGCCCCTTCCTTGAAGGCAAAAGCCAAAACTCACCACAAACGCAAGCAGGCTAAAGAGACTTCTAAAGCCTCAGAAAGGGATGCTTTAAGGCGCCATAAGGCCTTACAAAAGGAGATAGACAGGCGCTCTAGGGAAGCGCACACTGTGCCCCAGGGCTTCCCATCTTCTAGTCCATCTACTTCTTCACACCCTCCTCCTCCCCTAGATCTCTCCCTCTCATCCAGGCGCAGCTTGCCCCCACAAGGACAACAGGTCCAAGTTCCTGGGACACCGGTCAGAAGGGCTCCAGAAGCCACTTTTACTCCGACAGCCGCTGGTCTCCGTCAAAGGGATAGTCTCCTTGAGGAGGTCCCAGAAAGGATTAGAGCCTGGATGGAGGTGGCTATTCGCCAGGGGATCGCGGCCGGGATTCAACAAGCAGCCATGTCCGGACATTGCCCTGTGGTAATGTCACAATCACTGAGGTCCTTGCCCAGGTCGGACCAGCACCAGACCCAGGTATATTTACAGGGGGAGACCCCCTTCCAAGGGCGGGAGGAGGAAGTGGATCAGATCATGCAAGCAGACGAGTCCGAATTGGGGTCGATGCAGGATAGCGAGCCCCTATCAGAGGCAGACCCCTTAGAGGGGGAAATGTCTGAGGATGAAGGGCTTATTCCGGACCAGCCTGTTTTACGGGCTTATTCCGGCCACAGCTCTTCAAATCCCTATTGTTTAAGGCGAAGAACATCGCACGCCTAAGCAAGCAATCACCATCTGACACACCTATCCCCTCAGAGGAGGGGCCAGAGGACCTGATCTTTAACCAACCGGTTGTTGAGGCAGAGGTCATCCCAGTCCCACCCATGTTTTCCGACCTCGTGCAGAAGCAGTGGGCCTCTGCAGCGGTGTACTCATCCCCAACTGGCTACGATAGGAAATATTTCAACCTGGACCCCGATTTTTCTAAATTACTCAGTACCCCCGAGGTAGACGAACCTATAGTGGGTTTAGCGTCCTCCTCTATTCCCAATGACGCACTGGAGGTTTTAAAGCCAGAGGAAAAACGGGCTGAGCTAGCCCTGCGCAGAACGCATCAATCTGAAGCATGGGCTATCAGATCAGCTACGGCCGCCTCCTTCTTCACGCGGTCATCTCTTAGATGGCTTCTCCTTTTGAAGCAACACGTCCCTACTTCCAACATTAGGGCGCACCAAGACATCGCCAAACTCACTGCTGCTGCTGAATTCTCTGCTGATGCCACATACCACGCAGTCAAGTTTTCAGCGAGGGCCATCACATCTCATATCACAGCGCGTCGCTTGCTATGGCTAAGGCACTGGCAAGCAGACTTTAAACATAAATCCAAGCTGGCTTCCTCCCCCATAGTGGGAGACAAACTGTTTGGCCCTTCCCTAGATCCATTGCTAATTGAAACCCGTAGCAAGAAGAAATTCCTCCCCACCCTTGCTCGAAGATCAGATCCCAGAAATCCCCAGTCCTTTCGGAGGGGATCCTTTCGATCTTTTTATCAGGGACCCTTCTCTCCCAGATACCAGAGACCCCCATCATTCAGATCAGGACAACAACATGATAGGTCCGACTCAGTGGACAGGAGTAGAAGGGGCAGTCAACACAAAAGGGGTTTTCGGGGAGCAGGAAACAGGCCCTTCCGACGACCAAGATAACTCAAGGGACCCATTTCCCGTTGGCGGACGCCTTAAATTATTCGCGGACCAATGGGACTCCTCTACCTCTGATTCTTGGGTCAGAGACACGGTTAGATTTGGCCTTGCCCTGGAGTTTCAATCCACTCCCCCAGACTTCTTCATGTCACGCCCTCCTTCCAGAGATCCGATTAAGCGTAATCTCATGGATTCCGCTATCCAACATCTTCTAGACATAAGAGCCATCCAACCAGTAGCTACCAAGCAACGAGGGCAAGGTTTTTATTCACATCTTTTCGTTGTTCCAAAACATTCGGAGGGGTGGAGAGCGATCTTAGATTTGAAAGGTCTCAACCGTTTCCTGGTATATCGAAAATTTAAAATGCATACCCTCCAATCAATATTACTGGGCATCAGACAGGGGGACGTGCTCCCGTCCATAGACTTGACGGAGGCGTACCTGCATATTGCTATTCGGCCTTCCCATTATAAGTTTCTGAGATTCTGCTACAATAATCACCATTTTGAATATGTGGCCCTTCCATTTGGATTAGCCTCTGCCCCCAGGACCTTCACCAAGGTCCTTGCAGCGCTAGCTGCCCATCTCAGGAACATCCCCGTTCTCCTCCAGTGTTATCTGGACGACATCTTGATTTTATCTCCTTCCGCCCATCAAGCAGTTATAGACACTCAGACCACATTAAAATCCCTACAAGAGCATGGATTCCTAATAAATTGGAAGAAGAGTCAGTTAACACCATCGACTCGAATCATTCATTTAGGGGCCGTTATAGATACAGTGGAAGGCAAGGTTTATCTGTCACCAGATAGACTAAATAGCATTCAAAAATCAGTTAAGGAGATCAGATGGCTTAAGAGGGTGTCCTTATTGGATATATCAAAATTGTTGGGCAAAATGATATCATGTATTTCTATTATCCCTTGGGCCTGCCTTCACTAGATCCCTCCAGTGGTTCCTGCTACTGTACCAGAGATCCGGCCGAAGCAACTCCAAACACAAAGTCAGGGTACCACCCAAGGTCCTCATGTCTCTCCTCTGGTGGTCCAAACCGGTCATCAACAGAGGCTGTCTCTTCAAGGAGCCACAAAGGCTCACCATCACCACGGATGCCAGTCTGTTTGGATGGGGAACTCACGTCCAGTCGCTCACAACCCAAGGCAGATGGTCCGCAATAGAACAGTCGTGCAGCATAAACTGGCTGGAACTTCACGCAGTACACCTGGCCCTTCGTAACTTCCTCCCCCAGGTACGCAGTCAGCACATACTAATTCTGACAGACAATGTGACAGCCAAAGCTCACATAAACAAACAAGGGGGCACACAATCGAAACAGCTAATGAGGGAAGCGGAGCGCCTGTGTCGCTGGGCGGAGAACAACCTACTTTCCATCAAAGCAGAACACATTTGGGGCCTGTCAAATACACAGGCAGACTGGCTAAGCAGGGCCACCATAGATCAGTCAGAGTGGCGCCTCCACCCATCCCTGTTTCTAGAAGCTGCAGGGACATTTGGTCAACCGATGGTGGACCTATTTGCTTCCCCTCTCAACACTCAGCTCCCGAGATTCTTTTCCAGGTACTCATCGCAAGGGGCAGAGAATTACAACTCGCTCCGCTGCCGATGGCCCCCGGCGCTCCTGTATGCATTCCCCCCACTGGCACTGGTTTCCAGGGTCATCCAGAAGTTACTAGACGAGAGAGCGGAACTACTTCTAGTGGCGCCTTATTGGCTCAGACGGCCATGGTTTGCAGACCTTCGCAGCCTCTCGGTAGCCCCACCCTGGAGAATCCCGCCAGACAGAATCTCATTAACTCGGGCCTCTTCAACATCCGGACCCTCAATGGTTACAATTGACCGTCTGGAGGTTGAGCGGAGTGGCTTGAAGAGCGAAAAGCTTTCCAGCAGAGTTATCAACACTATCCTAGCCGCCAGACGCCCCTCAACAATTCGCATTTATAATGCCATATGGTCCATCTTCTGCAAATGGTGTAGTAAGTTTCAAGTTGATCCTGTCTCCCCATCTGTCGCTCAGATTCTAGAGTTCCTACAGGAGGAACTTGATAAGGGGCTGTCACCTAATACGCTAAAAAGGCAGGTAGCGGCCTTGACATCAGTTATCACTTGCGAGGGTTTCAGTTCTCTCTCACACCACCCACGCATAAGGTCCTTCCTTAGAGGAGCCACCAATTTACGTCCTCCAGCAGTGCACCGTTACCCCACCTGGGACCTTAACAAGGTCCTTGTCGCTCTCACTAAGGGGCCTTTCGAACCTTTGAGGAAGTCAAGTCTCCAATTCCTGACATACAAAGTAGTTTTCCTTGTAGCGATCACCTCCGCTCGTCGTATGTCGGAAATTGCAGCCTTGTCTGTCAGACAAGATCTCTGTGTGTTTCATGCCGATCGAGTGGTCCTTTGTCCTGATCCCACATTCATGCCCAAGGTCAATTCGGCTTTCCATAGAGCACAAGAGCTCATTCTTCCAAATTTTTGCCCCAGACCATCACAGGTGATGGAAAGACAATGGCGTAGGCTTGATGTAAGGTGCGCACTGCGAATTTATATCAAGCGTACAGAGACCTTCAGGAAATCGGAGGCCTTATTTGTGTCCTTTCAGCCCAATACCCAGGGTCTCAAGGTATCACCATCTACGATAGGCCGTTGGATACGGGCTGCAATAGCTAAACCATATCAGTCTCAATCTCTGCAGGTGCCTAGGGGCATAACAGCTCATTCAACACAGGCACCAATAACTGAAATCTGCCGGGCTGCGACTTGGGCTTCCCCATTGCCCTTCATTAGACATTAAATTGATGTGTTTGCCTCTGCGGAGGCCTCCTTCGGCAGACGGGTTCTGCAACGGGTCCACAGGGACCAGGAGGAAATTCCAGACCAGACGGAGCCCCTCCCGTAGGACAGGCCAAGCTTTGGTATGTCCCACTACTGGATACTCTGAACAGCTCATAGGAGAAGGGGCGTTGGTACTTACCTGATACGCCCGTTCTCTTTGAGCTGTGAAGAGCATCCAGCCCCACCCTTTTCCGTCTGGTGGGGTCCTGTTTCGGCCACTGAACTTTTTAGGTCGTGAGGATGAGAGCACCTATTTCTCTCGTCTTCGCAAAAACTGGGGAACGCATGGAGGAGTCACGTGGAGGAGGAGGAGCGTTCCTCAATTAAAGCTCAGCCTATGGATGCAGAGACTGAAGCACCTCCCACTACTGGATGCTCTTCACAGCTCAAAGAGAACGGGCGTATCAGGTAAGTACCAACGCCCCTTTTGTCATTTACATGGAAAAGAGACCTGCTATCTAACAAAATTCACATTTTGCCCAACCTTCTGGTTTGGAGCAATGCAAACCACTGAGGATATTGTGTGAATTGCTAAATATGAGGTGCTCTACCAACTTAAACGTCATTGTTTTTAGAATGGAAATTAATGGGTAATATGAAGGATAGAGGCTTGAGGAATTCTCTGGGTGATATAAACAAGCCGAATTGTTTCTCAGTTCACAGAAAGGATCTCTCAGATGATGACTTCAGTGACGATGAAGAGGAATCTATTGATCAGGAGGAAGAGCTTTCACCTATCAAGCCAGCCAAGAAGAAACAAAAATCATAGCTGAGCTTCTCTGTAGGTACCTGTTCAGTTGCCTGAGAATGCTCATCCTAAGTGGAATATTACTGAGTTCTTGTTTTCATTAATTAAGCTTGTTATATTATTGTAGGATACCTTGGGCAGTTCTCCATTCACACACCATTAGTACTGACCTCTTGACAAATTGGCCTTTTCATCTAAAGCAGGGGTCCCCAACCACCGGTCCGCGGACCAGTACCGGTCCGTGGAACAAGTCCTACCGGGCCGCTGGCTTGCTGGGCGCCGCCATCTTTTTTTGATGAAAAAGTGCTTCCGGTGAGCTTTTCCGGGTAGAAAGCTCACCGGAAGCACTTTTTCATCAAAAAAAGATGGCGGCGCCCAGCTAATGCCGGTACCGGGCCGCGCCATAAAAAAGGTTGGGGATCACTGATCTAAAGGCTCTGGACAGGAAATGTTCCACAGCTTTTTGCTCGTTAACCCCACCTCTGATTTTATATTCTAAATAGCATAGTGTAGTGTGGAACAGAGCTGGCAGACAAGGAAAGTAGCTACTGTATCTGCAATACTATGGTAGGGACCCTCCAGTATGCAGCTTTCCTTCTCATGGGAGTGTTACAGACATATGTGCTCATCTTGGAAAACTGGCAGTTGTGGCAGCAGCTTGATGAAGTTGGTCTTGTCTTCTCCCCAAAAGATGTGAGGGGCGGTACAGCCATCTAGATGTGGTTAGCTGTGGGGCTAAAAAAATAGGTGCCCATATCCTGGATGTGATTGAGATTTTTGTTTGTGACAAGTGCTACAGGTTTTATTTTATTGAGGTGCATCTGGAACTGAATTAAATAGCTCACTGAATCTGGTGGCTGTTAGAAATAACAGATGTTTCTTATTCTGCGCAAAGAAAAATCTGTGGAGTTGTTGGAGAATTGCAAGCGTATAACTTCCACACCTGGAAAAAAGAAAATCAATATTGTGATGTTTTCTAATAAGAATTTCCTGATACTAAGAAAACTATCCAATTATAAGCCCTTTGCTCCTGATATTATTTATTTTTTTCCAGGTAAAAAGCAGGGCCTGTTTTCCAAATGCTTTATATCTGTTTTTAAGGTTACTTTTTTTTTAAAAAAGTGAACAATATCAACTTCTCAGGGAAAGTTATACTCCATTTCACTAACTTAGGGTGGCTCCTAATTTTGTTTTGCTGTGAACCACATTCTCTGCAATAGTTGATATATTCCATAACTATTGAGGATGCTTCCTAGATTCACTCTCTGAGAAAAAAATAAAGATATATTTTTTATTTATCTTGATACATTTTAACACATTGCTCGCTATTGGCCAGATGGAATTTATTACAATTTATAATTCAGAACAAGCTGGAGAGAGACAAATTTTTACTCTTAATAGATAGCTGAGAAGGCTGCCTGTATGTTTTGCCCTTGTTTCTGGTGTCCTTTTTTAAATAAACGCATTTGTTATACATGTTCTCTTTTGCTTTTTATTTTCTTGAACGATGCTGAGTGTTGAAAAATACAAAATGAAGGACTTACTTCAATTTTCTGTAATTCTTATTCATTCCCTTCCTAAAATATGTAACTGGTTTATTGAGAATTTCTAGCATTTTCTAAAAGAGGCTACAGTTATCGTCACAGTCCATTTTGGATGGTGCTAACACTAGTAGGATTGTTTCAGCCTTGCAAGGATGTATTTGCTACTCAACAATTACAAAAGTATAACTTTAATTTTAATCCAAATTATTTGCTGCTCTTATGCTATTTTATCAAGCTTCCTAATCCCAGGCTTATTCCGATTAAAATCTGTTAGCTTATTTACATAGTGCTTTAGTGCTTTGCTTTAGCTTTGTGTGCTAAGTCTCCTATGCTGCTTTTTTTCTTCTAGCTGTGTTTGAAGAATGCAAACAGTTTTCTGTTGAATCCAGCTCATACACAGCCTCTGCCACAGGGTGGCTTATTCACTCCGCTCTGCATTCACTCCGGCTCCCTTCTTTTTTACTTTCAGGCTGTGCTATCCCACAGTCTCTTTCCCAACCACTATTTATTTTTTACCCAACCAGTATTTTATCTCTCTACTGGGTGAGTCACTTAGTAGCACCCTTCAACCATATCTTTCTTCATTGCTTTCTTGGTTAAAATGCAGTTTGCATACCGAGCAAATAGATCAACAGATGATGCTGTTAATATGGCTCCGCACTACATCCTACAACACCTTGAATCTCCAAATACCTACACGAGGGTCCTCTTTGTAGCCTTCAATTCAGCATTCAATACCATCATTCCACTCTTCTAAGTAAATTAAACCAACTAGCGGTACCTGAACACACTTCTAAGTGGATCATAAGCTTCCTAACAGACAGGAAGCAGCAGGTGAAGCTAGGCGGAATCACATCTGAATACTGTACAATTAGCACAGCCCACCCACCCACCCCAATGCTATGTGCTTTCTCCACTTTTCTTCTCCCTATATACCAATGACTGCATTTCAAACGATCCATCTGTTAAAATACTGAAGTTTACAGATGCCACAACAGTGATTTGTCTCATTTGAGACGACGAATCTGCATACAGACAGGAGGTTGTACAACTTGCCTCGTGGTGTAACCGAAACAATCTGGAACTGAACACACTCAAAACGTAGAAATGGTGGTAGACTTTAGAAGAAACTCTCCCATACTACCACCTCTTACAATACTAGACAACACAGTATCAACAGTACAGATCTTCAAATTTCTAGGTTCTAACATCAAAAACTTCATCAAAAAAGCACAACAAAGAATGTTCTTTCTGCACCAACTCAGAAAGATCAAACTGCCCAAGGAGCTGCTGATACAGTTCTACAGAGGAATTATTGAGTCTGTCATCTACACCTCTATAACTGTCTGGTTTGGTTCTGCAACCCAACAGGACAAACACAGACTTCAGAGGATAATTAGGACTGCAGAAAAAACGATTACTACCCACCTGCCTTCAATTGAGGACCTGTATACTGCAAGAGTCAAAAAGAGGGCCGTGAAAATATTTATAGACCCCCTCACATCCCGAACATAAACTGTTTCAACTCCTACTCTTATAGAGCACTGCACATCAGAACAACTAGACACAAGGACAGTTTTTTCCTGAACGCTATCACTCCGCTAAACAAATAATTCCCTCAACACTGTCCAACTAGTTACAAAGTGCACTACTATTACTATTACTTTTCTCATCACTCCTTATCACCCATCCCCTCCCACTTGTGACTGTATGACTGTAACTTTGTCGCCTGTATCCTTACAATTTATATTGACTGTTTCCTAGTACGATTTGATTGCTTATTGTACCCTATGACTATCATTAAGGGTTGTACCTGATGATTCTTGACTCTTGATGAATGTATCTTTTCTTTTATGTACACTGAGGGCATTTGCACCAAGACAAATTCCTTGTGTGTCCAATCACACTTGGCCAATAAAAGAATTCTATTCTATTCTATTCTATTCTATTCTATTCTATTCTATTCTATTCTA